GGATCGAACCGAGGTCCCTGTGCTTTGCCAAGCTTGTTTCAAGTAGGTGCTTTAGACCACTGAGCCATCTCTCCAGCCCCCCCTGTAGTTCTTTAAGATAAAGCAGAATGACTTAGTAAATGATTGTTTAAATTTTTTTTTTGGCAGAACCAGGGATTGAACTCAGGCCCATGTGCTTGCCAGGGAAGTGCTTATTCCACTGAGCCATCTCCCTGGCTGTTTAAAATTTTAAATGCAGAAATAAACATATGGCTTCATTATAAATATCCTATGTAGTGTATTAATAGATTACTTCCACGATCAATTAGAACCTTAAAGATGCATTCTTTTTTTTTTTTTAAATTTTTTTTTTATTTTAACATTTTAGTGTGTGTGTGTGTGTGTGTGTGTGTATGTATGTATGTGTGTGGCCAGCTCAGCCCACCAGGGGGCGCGGCTGGCTGGCATGTGGTACTGGAGGATTGAACCGCGGTCCCTGTGCTTTTGCCAAGCTTGTTCCAAGTAGGTGCTTTAGACCACTGAGCCATCTCTCCAGCCCCTAAAGATGCATTCTTAACGTTGTTTTGGTAAGTTGAAATATAGCAGAAAAATTAAACACAGTTCAGAAATATTAAGCATACATTTTTGCTACATTTTAAGCTATATCATAATAACTGGGTATGGTGGTGCATGCCTGCAATTCCAGAACTCAGGAGGCTGAGGCAGGAGGATCTTTGTGAGTTTGAGACCAGCCTTGGCTACACAGGGAGCTCAAGGCCAACCTGAACTGCATAGCAAGACCCTGTCTCAAAAAGACACAACAAAACAGCTATATGGGGCCGGAGAAATGGCTCAGTAGAATAAACCCTTGCTTGGCAAGCACAAGGGCCTGAGTTCAACCCCTGGTTCCGCAAAAATTTAAAAAAAAAAAAAAAAACAGCTATATGGTAACTATACCTTATATATAGGGTTCTAGTTAATCTTTATTATGAATAAAATTGTTTTCAAATAATTTTTTACTATTAATATGGAAATTTTGACTTTTTTTTGTTTGGTTAGGTTTTTCTATTTGTTTTTGTATCTTAGTGCAGGGTCTACAGGGTCTCACTATATAGATTGTACTCCTAGCGATTCTCCTTGTTACAGCCTCCCAAGTGCTGGGATTATAGGCACCTGCTCGACACCACGCCCAGTCTCCTTTGCAGTCTCAGTGTACCCCGGGGGTGGGGACGGGGCACAGCACACCTGTGATTGAACCCCCGCTTCTGCGCTCTACCTAAGCAGGTGCTTCAGTCTGCTGAGCTATCTGGCTATCCCAAGTATTTATTTATTTATTTTT